CATGATTCTTGACTGACTGAACGCAGGCAGAAACAAGACTCTGGAATCTTGAAGGATGTCCTGAGGGACTTGTCCAACAAGAGAAAAAAAGTTGTCTTGAGCAAAAAGACAGCAATTTTTCTGAGCTGCGCCATCGCTTGAGAACGCCTGCTCTCATGGTTTCCGCACATGTTAGCTGATCGTGTGTAGTTATCCTGCCAGCTCTCTGCATATAGGTGGCCAACCATCACACCCCGGCTCGTCCCGCCCTAGCTTGCTCGACCCACTCCTTCAGCCTCCTTGCGTTTTGAAGGGGGAGCAACTTCTCCACCAACCTGCAATATAACATGTGGTGTGTGTATCAACTTAGCGCGTGAGATCCTACTATAGTGTTCGCCCTTATCTTTGTCTTGCCACTCCTCCAGTCTAATCCGACATCAACAATTCATGCATTCAACACAAGTTGCACTGCGCTATGAAGATTTCATTCTCTAGTTCAATCCTAACAAGAATCTGCTTAGCGCGAATTCACTCATGTCTAAGGAAAATGCATGTGACTTACTTTTCCGCGCAGTCTTTTCCGGGGTTGTCCTCCATCTCATCGAGGATCGCTGCCACCGCTACCGCCGTCTTCGCGCGCGACGGCGTCATCGATCGGTCCATCCTCACCATGCTCATCACCTGCAGCTGCCTCTCATCCGCATCGCTCTTGCTCTCCAGCATCCCCAAATCGTGGTTGTGCTTCCCCATGTAGCAAAACGCTACTTCCTTCTTGTTTCTCACCGTCCACTTTACGGCCTGACACGTGTCCGACGAATGCTTCGCCTCGTGGTCGCAGTGAAAGCAGATCCATTTTCGCAGCGTCCCCCGCATCTCAAACCCCGTCGAGTTCTCTTTTCCGAATTGCTTCTTGTACCCGCAATCCCCGTTTACACACGTCATCCCCCCAACGCACTTCCAACTCCTAACAGGCTCCCCGTTTACCGTCTTCATCTTTGTCGTTTGGCCCCCAATCCAATACCTGCCGTCCCTCAACTTTCTTCCCAAACACACCTCCGCATCCCTGACCAACACCCTCTCCCCATCGATCGCCCCTTCCAGACTTTTCACTCTCTCCGGTTTCGTTCTCTGTAAAAGTAACTTGAGCGCGTTCGTCACTTGGATCTTCCCGCTCAACAACACTGCATCCGTCACTATCTCCAGTTCTACCCTCTCGTTTTGTCCCGCCTCCTCCTTTGCCGCACTCTCTCCACCCTCCGCCCCTGTCACGCTCTGTCCTGCCTTCGCCCCGGTATCTCTCTGGCCCCCGTCTCCCTCCCACGCTTCTCTCATCTCTCTTACCAAATGCTCGTCTACTCTTCCTTCCCTTCTCATCTCATGTTCATCCCTCGTAAAAATGCCTTTCGCCCACCGATCAATTCTCTCATTATGCTGGTTCTCTCCTCTGTTCTCTGCTCTCTCAGCTCTCTCTTCTCCCTCTCCAGGTCCGCTACCCTTTCCCTTTACCCCTACCTCGCTCTGCACCTCCTCGTCTTCTTGTTCGTCCCTCAATCCCTGCTTTTGGGACTTTCTCGCCGCACCCAGGCCCGGTGCCTTCCTACTACCCACCACGTAGCAGCTTCTTTCGCCGAATACTCCCGTCGCCGTCGGCCTCGCCCTACACACGCCTGGCTTGCCTACGAGCGAGACACTCGGTCTAACAACCGACCCGAAAGAAGACGCCGCTGAATGGAAGCCGGTGGGGGCCGTACGAGCTTACCCGTGCATCGCATTCCTCGCAACGCCTCCTGCTACACCCCTCGCTCCCCCTCTACCTAACCCCAGACCCCCACGCTGTTGCTTCGGCTGCGCCTCCATCACGTACTTTCCCGCTCCCAACCACCATACGTACTCCATCAGGATCCAACGACGGCGACAACCTCACAGGGTCGTCACTTGCGCCCGGCTTCAAGATCAAAGTTCCAACCCAACCTTTGGGAAGGAAATGCGTAGTCACCTCTGCCTTGGAGACGATGCTGTAGCCTTCGGAGTTCACCATAGACATCAACGGCTCCTTGGTAATCGCGGCAGGGTCGGGGAAAGCCACCATAACCGCATTGGGGACCAGAACTTCATCAGGCGCCCCTAGCTCTTCGCTCACCTCCTGCTCCACTTCCTTTTCTCTCTTCTCTTTGTCCTCCCCTCCGTTGTCCTCCCCTCTCATCGAAACCCCATCTCCCGTGTTACCCTTTGCCGCACTGTTGGAAGTAGTTCCTCCTTCAGCTCCATTGCCAGTCCCTGGAGCCGGCTCTTTGGAATCGGCGGGCGGCGCCTCCGTCTCCACGCCCTTCACATCCTTCTGATTAGTGTCTTCGAGCGTACCCAGAACACCCGTCGGTGCCGAATGCGCTCCATGATCTTTGGTCGCGCTCGATGCCCCGACAACCGCAGCTACCGCAGCCACGGGAGCCGAAGTCGCAGGCCGATTCCTGCTTGCAGGTGGCCGGACTCCCAAAGGGGCCAAGGATGCCATCTGCAGTATTAAAAAGAATTCCCTTTACGCCCCGGGTGGAACGCTTCATGGAAACGTCCTACTATTCAAACAACATAGCAACGGAGCACTCAGATGGATGAAAGACAGCGTCCTACCTTTCGACGATAGTTTCAGAGCTAAACTTCTCTGCAAAAATAATCTTAGACCCCACATGTTCCCCCGTGCAAGTGTCAAGATTACTACTGAGTCTAGTTCTATGTGTGCACGGAAACAACAAGAACAGATTCAAAACTGCTGGCACAATCAATGATGAACTAAGTGTACGATTGAAAAATATTCTCAATATGCTATGCTCCCAAGCGCCGGTATGGATAAGCAAGGAGATACTTGGATCAGAATTCCCTATAGCTAACTACCGAGTCTAGGTGGCCAGGGTCCAACGGCGAACAGTCACGGAACGGATTTGTAAACGATTAAATACGCTACTATGCTACCGAGCCTCGGTACAGCGTGACCCCGCAGGTTATCAAGCAGCTCCACCATCATTACAAGGTCTTCACATACCGAGCCTCGGTAGCAGAATATTTTTACCGGCTCCAACAGCTGACCATTACCGCTAACGGTTACCGAGCAACTAGAGTCTTGTGAAAAGGAACCATTATCGGGACCATTATCGCTAGCTCATATTTCAAAAAACCCCCGGAAAAGTCTGTTTCTACCGAGCCTCGGTAGAAACCGACCGCAAGGGACCGGCACAAAATATAGCTACAATGTTAAAAAACGGGACGGGGTTGACCGTTACCGCTTACCGTTACTGCAGGATATCGCCGTTTGCTTGCGCCCCTTATCCGTCCTCACAATGCCCCTTTACAATTAACTTGGATTATGACGGGACAACCAACGACCACCCGGCGGCGTCGCTTGTGACAAGACCGCGGGAAATCTAAAAAGATTGACGGGACAAGGATCTGAGTCTATACACTTGGTATTGACTATGATATTTGTATAATCTTTAGGCTTCCTCCAATGTTGGCCCTCTCCCTGTGGGCGCGGCACAATTTACTGAAAATTACACTCCGATATGGAGCATTCTGATTGGTTGTTTGGATGTGGGCATCCACCACGGCGTTGGATATTAACCATAGGTTTGGATTTGGTAATCATTGGACCATCCCTTAGATCCACCCATTCCCATTATCGTCAATCTGCGTGGCCAACCGATGGCCGTCCGATAGGGTCGGGTTATCAGATGACACGCCCTACGGCCCACAGAATCGCGATATTTATCGTTACACACGCTTTTAACACTGCTCATATAACAAATACAGTCGGTACTTCATGGATACCACTGTAACGCTTTCCCCCGGCCGCATCGTTTCCCGCAATCGGACTGGAAATTGGTATTTGTATTAGTAAAGGTAGTGCCCGGTAGAAACGATGGCTACCGAGATCTCGGTAGCATTCGTGCAGAACTTCGGAAGCTTCATTTCTTTTTAGTGAGCAACGGAGCGGATTTTCTTGGGCGCCCAAGAAAAAAGTCAACGCAAGTCAACGCTGGAGGGACGGTGCGAATCAAGGTAAAAAGGCCTTTTTTTCTTTTGTTTTCTCAGAGTCGAAACACTTCAACTCTGCGACGTTTTCTAGAAATCCCTGTGTTTTTCTGGGTTTTTGGTTGCCTGGTGTTGCTACCGAGGCTCGGCAGCTCACGCTTGTTCAAGTCACGCTGATTCGTTGCTACCGAGCCTCGGCAGCTCACGCTTGTTTGAGTCACGCTGGTTCGTTCCTACCGAGCCTCGGTAGCATTGCCCTGTAGTAGCCTGCAGCGGCCTTTTTCTTCAGGAAGCTACCGAGCCTCGGTAGCTTCTGCTGTTTTTAGTTGACTATCCTGGTACCTTATTCTTACGCTAGTCGATAGCAACCGAGGCTCGGTACCCAACGATATCTTGAGTTGTTACTTCTCGCGAGATCCTCCATTGCTGCCGAGCCTCGGTAGCATTGCCCCATTGCAACAGCCGCAGGCAGATTCGCTGATAATCTACCGAGCCTCGTCAGCAGACGCTGTTTCTTACCTTGGCCGTACGGTGGCCAGTCGCCACCGAGCCTCGGTAATTTTGCTTCGTTGCAGCTGCTGTTGGTCGTGTTCCGTTGAACTGAACCAAGTGCGATATTTTGCTGCTCCTTGCAGACGATTCTCAGATGATCGGAAGTCTTGGGAAAGCCGTCCTTTCTAAACAAAGTGGGACGTGGGAGTGGGGCGAAAAGAATAGTCTTGACAGTAGGTCTGAGAGCACCGTCGAAATGGGAGGGGCAAAGGGAGGGGCAAAGGGAGGTGCAAAGGGAGATGCAAAGGGAAAGGGTGGGCTTAAGAGGGTGGCAACTGCGGAGGCCGAGGGCAGTGGCAAGGCGGCTAAGAAGCAGAAGCCCGAGGCCGCTGGTGGGGCTGGACCAGTAGTGCCAAAAGCCAAGAGGAGCGGAGCCGTGAAGAAGGACGGGACGCCTTCGAACGGTGGGGAGGAGGAGTTGACGGAAGTGCCGCCCGCGCACGTCAAGGTCACCACCCCGGGAAAGATGAAGGCGGGTGCAAGCACTCTGGGGATTCGGGCTGCGCAGGGGGTCCTTTCGAAGCTGGAAAAGACCTACCTGCAGACCACCCTCCAGGAGCAGATCAAAGATTTCGTCCCGGATGATCTGAGAAAGATCAAGCCTGATGGGATAGTGACCATCCCCATTGGGTATCTCTCGACCGAGGACGAGATGATCGGAGGGGAGCTGATGTCCTTCAACCCGCGTCAGCTGAACGCAGACGGAGTGGCGCGGATCCGGCAGAGGTTCCGTATCAATGGGTTCGACACGACGAGGTCCATCTTGACGGGGGTCGTGTCGGTGAGTAGGTTGGTTTTGTTTGTAGAAGGAATGGTGGAATGAGAGGGTGATATTGTGATGGATATTTTGCAAGACTTTGGTGTTTATTGGCGACCATTGCTTGTAAGGAAAGATGCACAAGTTGCGAGAGTTGTAGGATATGGATGCTTGTGATTCGAATGACAACGCACCTTCAAACGGAACCAATCTGACTCATCATGGGGATCGAATAATGTTTTTCTGTTAACATTGCAGTACAACGGGATGACCTTCCCGATGGACAAGAAAATGCGGGATAGCTGGGACGAGGTGGAAAGAGAGAACATCAAGGATTGGAAGGAGTATTTGGAGAAGACGAAGGGGACAAGCCCTCTGAGTGCGTGGACGCTGAAGCACATCGCAGGAGAGGGGAAGTCGTGGGGGAACAAAGTGAACGTGTCCGACGGCAAGCACAGGTGAGTATAGATTGGAGATGATATGAGAGAGTATAATAGGAGTATGTCTGTCCAAAAGGTGGCTCGTTTCTCATTGTAGGTAGTTGCTACGGAGCATATGTAGGAATGCTGAGGAGAGGATTGGTGGGTTTTGTTGCTTTTGTCACTGCTGATTTTTTATATAGCTGACAGGTTTTGTTAAGGATGATGGACAGCTGTGCTCTGCTGGTAGGCTGAATAGCACGCATAGTGGCACGTTGCTACCGAGCCTCGGTATAATAGCATAGAGCAAGCAAAATGACGCCGTTGCTACCGAGCCTTGGTAGAATAGCATAGAGCAAGCAAAATGACGCCGCTGCTACCGAGCCTCGGTAGAATAGCATAGAGCAAGCAAAATGACGCCGTTGCTACAGAGCCCCGGTAGGATAGCCTACAACAGAATACTATATGTAGTATTGGTTATCTTGCGGTGTGGGATTCTCAAATAGTTTGTTCTTTCCCATTTTCAGGGTGGAAGCGGTGAGGGAGGAACAGAGAGCGAATTTCCACTCCCTGAAGCTGGACCCCCAAGGCAAGAGGCACCCGATGGTAAAGGTGCAACTGCTGGACGCGTCATCGGACATGATGGGGAAGCTGCTGGCGTCCTGCAACGCAATCAACGAGCAAACCTCGCAGGGCATCCAGAAGCAAACCATCCCGCTCAAGATCATGACTGTCAGGAGCTGTTGAGGAATCTCACGGCAGACCAGGTGGACGAGCGGTTCCCGCTCAAGGTGAGTATAATTAGGATAATACAAATGTAGAGACTGTGAAATTGTTGCGCTGAAACTGGTTCACAGGCAATTTGCGTAGGTGTTGTTGATGCTGCTGCAAGGATGCAAATGCTGGATCCATGGAGAGGCTACGAAGGAGTTCACATTGCGAGGTACTCATAAACTGGTCTCAAACGTTCTGCTAACATCGAATATGATATAATGCAGACGCTGGAGACGATGTCGACAATGGCGGGCAACAAGCTGAACCTAGAGTACGTTTTCTACAAGCCCCGTGGGGTCGGACAAAGTGGAGAAGATCGCCAAGCTCCAAGTAGCCATGATGGTGGACCCCGTCTTCGAGTAAGTTTGCTTCTACTTTTGTGACGTTGATTCCGTGCTTGCTACCGAGGCTCGGTAGCAAGCAGAAAAGCTCTTCCAAACAGTTGACCATAGTTCAGTCTACTTCTTCAACGACGGCCATTCTAGACAAGAACCTGCTTGCTACCGAGTCTTGGTAGCGAGCAGATCTTTAAGACCACAGCAAAGCATGTGTAGGGGCTCGTAAAAGGAATGATAGTCTTGGTTTCTCGATTGCTACCGATCCTCGGTAGCGGGACTCGTTATAAGGGGTATATAGTGCATCCAACCCTTCGAGACAGAGGGGACTCCGCTTCAGATCAGTCCGTTGTTACCGAGCCTCGGTGGGGTGCATCCAGACAAATAGTACTTTGCTACCGAGGATCGGCAGCATGCTGTATTTGAGAATCTCGTGAAGTATCTGATAGAGAGATTTGGCAGTAGCTAATGTGATTTTTCTGCGCTTACAGGGACGACGTGGCGGGCTGGCAAACGGCGGACAACCCCCCCGACTCCACGCCCTTCGCTTCGCTGTGCAACACGAAGCAAAGCGAGATGCGGAGGCTCTGAACGGCAGCCAACCACGTGGCGGGATCGGGGTACGAGAAGGCGCTAGAAGCCATCACCCAGGACACGGAGATCGCAGAGGGCTTGGGGAAGGAGGACCTGTACACGCTGGTGGGTACGGGCTTGAGTGAAGAATGGGTGGAGGAAGCGGTGTGGAGAATCTTTGTGAAGAAACCGGCGCAAGCGGAAGAAGAGGGGTTCGGGAGGTCGTTGGAGAAGATACGGCAGATGTGCAAGGGGTTGGGGTACGCGTACAAGGTCATGAGGGAGGGGCTGCAGTGGCTGCGGAGGCTGAAGATCCTGAAGGATGAGCCGGTGTCGAAGGACGGGTCCCCAGACATCTCGTGGAACTTCGCCTCAGCGGATGTGAAGGCGTTGTTCCGGGTGAAGAAGTCGGTGGAGTACCCGGAATGGGTCATGAGGCTGGCGTTCAGCAAAACGAAGAAGGGGGCGCACTTGGCGCGGTACATGTTCGGGCAGGGGCAAGAGTGCAAGGAGAAGGCGAGCGCCAAGACAAAAGAAGAGCAAGGACGTGGAGGAGGCGGGCAAGAGGTCGGTCTGCCAGCACCTACAGTGGCTATTCTCGCCGTCGGAGGGTTGGACGGACGCGCAGAGCCTGTACTCGGGGGTGCCGGAGGCGCTGGACCTGCGTAAAAACGTGCTAGAGGCGATTGCGACTGGGGCTGTGTTCGGTGGAAACTGGGAGGTTGAATCAGCAGCGGCGACGGTGTACAATCTCGAGGACGAAAAGAAGCTCGGGGTGCCGTTGGAGAGGGACTGTGGGGGGGAAGTTCCGGAGGGACTGATCGAGCTTGGGAAGGAAACGGGGCGGGAATACATCACGAGGAAGGTCAGAGCGTACAAATTGAACGTTCAGATTGGAGTGGAGGAGGTCGCAGAGGAGGGTCGGGAGGGAGAGGGGAAGCAAAGCCTGTCCATCAGCTCGACGGAGGTCTACAACGTGGTGGAGGAGTCAAACTCCTTCGTTTTGCCGTCGGTAGCGAAGCTGGTGGAGGGATTGGAGTACCTGTGGCTGCTGGACGACGGAGACTGGGAGTCGAAGAAGAAGGGGGTGGACATGGTGTGGTTCAACGTGCCGCTGCCTCGGTGCGTGCTTACCGACGGGGAGGCGGCAAAGTATGACCCGCGGCAGCAGCGGCCGTGGGAGACCGACGAGGTGCTGGGGGCGCTGGAGCTAGCGAAGAAGCTCCTAACGCCTGCGGGGGTGCTGGTGGTGGTGGCACCTGTGGGGTTCCCGGAGTCGGCGTTGGACGGGACGAGTTACACTGGCCTGGTCACCGCCGTGAGATCGACTGTCACGTTGGTGATGGGTTTCAAGAAGTCGAAAGTGAGAATGTCCTATAGTTGAATAATAGTTAGCCGTTCTTGTTGATCAATTGAGAGTTGGATGTTTGTGGTTAACACCAGAGGACAAATGAGCACAACTTATTCCTAGAGTAGTGTGTTCTGCTGGTTTCCTACGGCATGGCGAAATAGGGCTATTGGAAAGATAGCAATTGAACGTTGCTTCCGACTTGCTTGCAGGACACGACCAAGCACGTGTACGGCTGCCAAGGCAACACGTTCAACGTCTACTACGTGACGCTGGCGGCGTCGGACCTGACGTCCATGGTGAAGGGAAGTGCGTGGAGGGACACTCTTGAAGGGGTACCTTTCCACGGAATCTTGAAGAAGCACGGCTCGTACAAGGTACGGTCCCGTTTCTGCGTGATACAATGTTTGTCTTCCCTTTTGGAATGTAAGTGTCATTGGCCTGAGAGTGTCTTGGGTTTTAGGGTCATTAGTTCGAATCTTGAAGGAGTGACTGTATTTGGGAACGGCATGGTTGTGCGCACTCCAATAGCGGTCCTCCTACCGAGGCCCGGTAGGAAACGGATCTTGTGTAGTCCGTCTGATAGGGATCGTCCTACCAGCTACCGAGGCTCGGTATAAACGGATCAGGCGAGACCAAACAGCAGTGCTGGAAGGAGGCTCGAAACTGAGGCATTGCTACCGAGACTCGGTAGCAATCTGCAAAGAATGTTGTTGCTCTCTTTTACTCGTCATTGCTACCGAGGCTCGGTAGTTAAGCCTCCTTGGACTGAGCTGTGAATGATGTTGCCTGTTATGCTTTAACCGGAAAGTTGATTATTACCTCTCTGCCGTGTCATGTTCAGCCCTACTCTTTCCTTGAGTGGGAGGCCTCTGGCAAGGGGCTGTCGACCAAGATGGTGACGAGCCTGCTCGGGGGGGTGCCGCCGCGCGGTGGGACTGCCGTCGTGCTCAACGCCAAGGGGGGCAGGGAGGTGTCGGCCATATCAAAGGCCGGCTTAAAAGTCCTTGCGACGTACTCCGAAGCAAAGGAGACGTTCCCTGGAATGCTCGAGGATTCGAAGACGGGGAAGAAGTGGGGGGGTACCGACGGGTCAGCAGCAGAAGACCAGGTGGAGAAGGGGCCGATAGAAAAGGCGCCGACGGAGACGGCAGGAGCAGGCCAGTCGAGGGGGAAGGAGAGGACCGCGGAGTATGCGGAGTCGGTTGCCGGAGACGCGGGCAGGGATAAGTCTGCGGAGGATGTGGATGAGGAGAGGGCCGAGATCGAGGATGAGCTTGCGGAGGCCGCGGCGGAGGGTGAGGAGGGCGAGTCGGAACCTGCAGAGGGTGAGGATGAGGAGGGCGGGGAGGAGCCTGCAGAGGGTGAGGAGGGGACAACAAAGGAGAAGGGCGAGGAGGGTGCAGGAGACAAGGAAGGGGAGAAGGCCGCGGGGACGGCGCAGCCGAAGGCAGCTGGGGGCTCCGGAGAGGCAGGCGAGTCAATCGCCGGCAGCTCGGACCCCTACACTCTAGAATTGAAGCGTTTGGACGCTGAGAAGGGAGAGTAAGGTTGATTGTAGAATACATGGTTGTGGAGTAGGGCAGATGATGTGCTGGGTAAAGAGGGTGTGATAGGGGATGGATCAGAAGACATGGAAGGAATAGTTTTTTGGCAGGGCGTCATGAATGTCATGACATGGATGAACGTGGACATTGTTGGAGCTCAAATATTGTGGCTCACGTAATTTGAATGAGATACTGTCATTCAGTGTCGCACTCCAAATGCACATATATCGTGCGCTTCTTCACGGTTAGTTAATATAACGGGCCAAATTATGTATGTGCATACTTTGAAGCACTAGTATTGAGTGCTTTGTATGGCCTTCGCTTTGTGCAGCTCGTACGCACGAGGCCAGCGGCAGGCGCAGCCGGCCGCACCAGGCCAGCGGCACGCTCAGCCGGCCGATCTTGTTGCGAGATAGTCAGGGATACATCAGGGGAGAATGTATCCAAGCGGTTCTAGACTGGCTACAATCGTGTAAGCCCGGGTTCCGGTGCCCGGAGTTTTACATCTGTAGCGCGCGAGCGGATGGCCTGGATGTGGAGAAGGTGTGGGACAGTTTGAAGAGGAAGGTACAGTAAGGAGATGTGGAGTGGCAGTGCGTTGGCACAATGGTGAACCTGGGGAACATCCATTGGGCTGCGCTCGTAATCTACCGGGGAGACAGGGCAGTGGAGTACTACGATCCGTTTGGAACTCCGCCAGAGCCCAAGGTCCGAGAATTGCTCGAAGTCCTCGCAAGAAGAGTGGGGAGAAATGTGAGCAACGGAGCGCCGTTCGGGGTGAGGGTGAACAAGGCGCAACACCAAACCAGCCTAACGGAGTGCGGCCTGCACTTGCTGATCTTCGTGTACAGGAGGTCAACGAACAAGAGGTGGTTTGATTGCACGACAGGCACGACGGGGTCAATGAAGGCCTTGAAAGCGTTTTCGAAAGTCATTTTTAGTGGAGAGGCCCTTTTCAATCAGTAGAGTCGCCTTGGAAAATACTAGACAGGGGAATGCGTAACAGAATGTGACAAACATTGTAAGCACACACATTACCGTTTTTGGAATGATGTTCAACCATCAGAAACTATGATCTTGCTTCATTTGCGATGAATGGAATGCACGGGGTCTATAACCATCATGAAATGGGTGTATGAACATGAACGGGCTAACGGTCAAGTCTCGAACAAGTACATACGAGTGAGGAATACCAAGGAAATACCAAGGAAACTGTTTAGCGCGGTACTGAACCGGCTAAACGGCCTTTGTTGAATATTGAAAGGACACTCAACGGTGCGGTTAACCTTGGGAGCATAGGGAAGCGGGGGCCGGGCCCGAAAGCCCTAAAACCCTGAAACCCTAAAAAAGGTAATTAAAACATTAATAATTAATTTTCTAATAATTATATAAAATAAAATGAATAAATCAAAAAATATTATAATATAATATAAATTAATGCTTTAAATACAATAAATGTCTTAAATTTGCTGAAGTTGCAAAATAGATGACGTCAGCACGTGCAAAATTTTGGAGAGTTCGCGAACTTTCGGAGAGTTTGCGGGGTTCGCAAACTCCCCAGATCTGGCCTGCCAAACTCTCCTGATGGCCACACTCGGGTCGGAGGCTTGACTGAACCGTTGATGTCAGAACTGTATGTACTTCTTTAACCTCAGGCAACCAATCGCAAATAGTAATTGGAGGCCCCGTGGGGAGAGGAACTGAGGAATGCATGCCGAAATGAAGAACTGAAATGAGAAGGGAGCGCTAAATGTGTAGTAGACACATACTGTGCGACTCGGGCGGCCACTCAGACTGCCACGACCAAGTTTACGAAGGCCCCTTTACCGCGTTGAGCTCAGGCGTTACCGCCCAACGCCGCGCTGAGAATGACTTATGCTCATTTCTAGTTGTTGAGTTGGTGCGCTCCGCAAATTATGTGCGCTATTTGAGCAAAGCTGGATTGGAGTTTGGTGACTCTTTAAGTTTGTGCCTTCAAGTTCGACCATTGGCAGCTCGGCCTCTTGCAAGTTGCAGCCTGTTTTCTTGCCGGGGCCTATGCTAATCAAGACGCATACAGACTCACAGAGCCTGCTTATTGCGAGGGGTTTGCAGAGTTTGCATCTAGGTGCGGAGTAGAGGAGCAGCAAACTCCATTGTGCTCGAGGAAAATTCGCTTCTAACCAATCCGTGTGGAGCTAATCGTTGGTGTGAGGTTTCTTATGGCGGAAAGCAAAGAAAAGCACGAGAGCGGCTTGCTCGCCCCTACATCGTACGACAAAGAGCCCCCTAGGGACCCGTCCCTGATCATAAACTCCAAGGTACGTTTTTGTCTGCCAGTGACCAATTGTGTTTCAAATCTGTTTGAGCTTCGTTGGTGGTGATATGCACCTGATTCTGCAAGGCCGTTAAGGACAATGCAGTATGAAATCTTCGTGTTCCTTAGAAGCCTGTCAGTGAATCACACAAGATGGAGAAGATGTGGTATTAGGGTTCACTTGGAACCCTAATGTGGGATCACCTTTGCTGAACGTGTTTGACAAGTTTCTAAAGCTCATGCAGAATGCGGCACGCCAGAGATCCATTTGAACCAGCAAACCTGGTAGTCCCAAAAACAGATTCTGGTTGCTTGCAGACCCCATTCAATGCAGAGCCGCCCGTGGGGGCCCTGGCGCAGTCATTTATCACACCTACCCCGCACTTCTACAAGAGAAACCACGGGCCCATTCCCATCTTGGAAAATGAGGAGGAGTGAGCAGCTGCATGCCTCTTTGGAAACTCCATCGCTGGTCCCATTCTGCTCTGCCAACTGCCTGCAGCTCGCAGAAGGCCTCGTTGATGCTAAATAATGATGGACGGTTGCCAAGTGCAGCTCAGCTCCCAATGGTCTCACCATGAGCTGTTTTTCTTGGGGAAGGCAGCGTGTTTGCGCTGGAATCTGACTATTCCACAGCTGGAATCTCAATGCCTGCGGTGCTCGGCGTCACAGCTGGTTCGAAGCAACACAATGCAGAGCATGGGGATGTTGCCGTCAAGACAGGTGGCCGGCGTGTGGCCCACGAGTCTGCACAAGATAGTCCATCATTCTTGTTGTTAAACCAACCCCGCTCTACGGCGCAGGTATCGGCTCACGATTGATGGCCTGCTGCCGCACCCAATCAAGCTGACCCTCGCACAGCTCAAAAGCTTGGGGAAGGAAGTCGTGGTGGCTTCGCTCATGGTAAGTAACTTTTCTGTTGGCGGTATCCGTTGGCTGGCACTCTAAATTGGCTATACTCCCAGTCACAAGATTGCTACCGAGCATCTCGAAGCTTTGCGGTGGGCAGGCTCGACTGGCAACCCGGACTTGCGGCTTGAATCTGCCGTTGCAAGGCACTTTCGGCCCAGACTAAAAGATTCCTCACTTGGAACTGCGACATAGGTACCCCTGAACTTACTTGGGCACACTTTGTGAGTCGCATAGATTTGCTGCCGGCTCTCCTGCCCAAATGAAGTTCGACTGGAGTCGATATCACCTGTGCTGAACAGGTATCTTTTGTTTTTCCCTCCTGATACAAATCCGTTTCCTGTTACTGCAGTGTGCAGGGAACCGCCGCACCGAGATGAGCAGACTGAAGGCTGTGCGAGGGGTTGGGTGGGGCCCAGCGGCGGTTGGGAACGCTGTATGGGGTGGAGTGCCTCTGAGCCGGGTCCTGCAGCTGGCAGGGGTCTCGCAGGGGGCTTGGGAGACGCACTCGGGGGGCCGCCACGTGGAGTTCGTCAGCGTGGACAGGTGTAAAGTGAGGGACTCGTCGACTATCGCCTCGCTTCATCTGAACCCTTCGGTCCTTTCATCGATGGTTAGTATGGTGTTGGAAAGCAGTCCAACAAATACTTGCGGATGAAACAGCTTGACCACCCCCGGGCGGCCTGACGTTCTCTGGATTTGGTGAGTAACGACGATGCTAGGCATGCGAGCATTGCAGCGGCACTTAATCAACCTAGGCCTCGGCCCGGTGTTGCATGACGTCTTTCTTACTGCACCTCTCTCTCCCACTTCTCATCACCCCCCCTCCCCCTTCCTCCGATCCCATCGTTCACCACACCGGAGCTTGTCTTTCTTTTCTGGTTCCTCCACCCTTCAAGCTCACACTCTCCCCTTCCTTTTCCCCTTTCTCACTTGGGCTCTCCCCCCCTCTTCGCAGGAAGAGAAGGGTGGCCCGTACCGTGCGTCCATCCCCCTGCACATGGCCACGTGTCCCGACCAGGAGGTGCTGCTCGCTTACGAGATGAACGGGGAGCCTTTGCCTCGCGACCACGGTTGCCCGCTGCGCGCGGTGGTGCCAGGTGTCATCGGGGCGCGCTCCGTCAAGTGGCTGGACAGGATCAACATCCTGGCGGATGAGTGCCAGGTAGGCAGGGAAATGTGGCTTGACGCGTTGTGCATTGGGCAAATCCCCCACCAAAAAGGGCTGGTTTTCCGATTTCGCGGTTCACTTAGCGCGGTGTCATGCATCGTTCCAGCAAGAGGGGTTTGGGAGGCTGTTCTTTTTATGACCCTGCGTAGAGGCAACTTCAGGCTCTGGAGGAACTTTCCAAGAGTCTACGGACTGGGATGCATGTTCCAGAGGAGTCTTGCAGACTCTCCTCCTTCCAGTCTACAGCCGCCAGAAAGCGAGCACCCGCCTTCAAGTCCAGTCAATGAACAAACGAATCAGGTAAAATGGACACAAGCCTCACCGAAATCGTTGCGCATGGCTGGCAGGGCTTCTTCCAGCAGCTCGACTACAAGATGTTCCCGCCCTGGGTCGACTGGGACAACGTCAACTGGAGCTCGCGCAGTTCCATCCAGGACTTTCCCGTTCAGGTGCGTCTGCATGTGGTTGTTTGTGCGAAGACTCACGCTGCTGCAAGCTGGTCTCGGTGTTGTGCTTCTTCTCGACGTGGGTGCTGAGGAGCTCGCTTTCTTAGCGCTGCCACAGCTTGTGAAAGGATTCTTCCGAGGGCATTGCCTTGGTAAGGTGGTTTTCGGGCTTCGAGTCCCAGTTCCCCGGGTTTGGATGATCCCCGTAGTGATCTATAGGCTCAGTGAGACGCCCGGTGATTTTTGTGGCTTGAGCCCGCAGTTAAACTCCTGCCACGTGTCTTGTGTACAGCTGGCGGTGTGCTCGCCGACCTCCAAAGACAGCATCGCGCCCGGTAGCAAGGTAAGTTGAAAAAGGCGTTCGTGCTATGATCCTTTGCGGATATTATCTGGACCGATATAGTACGATTACAGACGCGGATGTTGGCTTTACCTGTGGCGATTCAACTGGCCTGATAGATTACTCTGGCGAAGCTAGATTGATCTGTATCTCTACTTGGCCCCATACCGATGGGGACTGCCATGCGAAAACCCTGATGTTTCAACAATGTTGTGGTTTCCTTCTGTCAGCATTGAGGAAATGTTTGCACGAACTTTGGGCACTTGATAGAGTTTTGTGTCAGATCGGCCATCGACGCAGCGCACCTTTCTGAGGGCCGTTTGGAAGGCTGGACGATCAATCGTCCGGACATTCGCCACTCGCAAACTACTCCGACATCCTGATTGACGACGGTGTGCCCACTCTAGTAAGATAGGACCAACCGGCCTGCGTGTCATTCAGCTCCTTCATTCAACCTAGACAGGACACCTCTCACAGTCTCACTCATACGCTATCGACTGCTTCAGGTCACTGTGAAAGGGTATGCCTTGTCGGGGGGCGGTCGGAAGATCGAACGAGTGGACGTGTCGGTCGACGGGGGTGCCACGTGGGCGGAGGCGCAGCGGCTGCCGCAAGAGGGGACTCACGGACGCTGGGCTTGGACCCTCTGGAGCCTGTCTGCAATCGTAAATCCGCCGTGCCAAATCATCGCGAAATGTGTAAGTGGAACTTCTGATAACGGGCCACTGCTTTTCTGAGGACCGTGAGCTGGGTCGGACATCAGCACTGCCAAATGGTTCCAGAATGTTCCTACGACTTCAGCGGTTGGTTTCCGAAAGTGGAAGCTGGAAGTTGTTCTGCCTTCGTACCCCTGCCTTACCAGATCGTACCCTGCTTTACCAGATCCTCACCAGATCCTCGTGAGATGCGTAAAAGCCAAGGTTTTGGCGCGATCCTTGAACATCTTTGATGACAAATATTTGCGCGGACGAGTGGTGTTCAGAGTTGGCCTTCCTGAGACTGGTGACTGCTTTCGGGACTCTAAGCTACATGGGATTCGTGCTTCGCTGTTGCTCCGATATCTGAGGCAGCACGCGCGAACGGTATTATTGCTACAGAGTCGGCTTATCCCGAGGCATTGAACGAAGATGTCAAGTGGTACTTGCGTTGAACGAAGATGTCAAATGGTACTTGTTGAGTTAACGTGCAATGGTTCAGGGTTTGTGTGGATGGATTGCTGGAGTGCTTGTTTCCTGTCCCGTGTGGTTCGAGCACAAAGGCCAAGGCTGCCGGTGGTTTGACCCTTGAGGTGTCCAGATGCTGTCATTCTCAAAGCAACTAATCCTTCGTTTGCAGGTAGACGTAGCTTCCAATACGCAACCAGAACGGGTCGAGACGATCTGGAACTTGAGGGGCGTGCTGAACAACTCGTGGTTTAGGGTAGACATTGAGCCGCCCAAGGCGCGGCTTTAAGCAGCATTGCCATTATTAAAACTCCAACACTAAGGATTCCACTGAGCCCTTGAACTTTGAGACTGAATTCTTGGCCTCCTTCGTCTGTACATACGCTTCCCGGTCCTCCGATGATAATTTTGGAGTTAGTGTATGGAGACTCAAGGAGTGCTTAACAGTCAAATGTGTAGACTGGTCAGTTATTAAGCTCAGACGGCCTAGACCGTCACTCATCAGCCTTCCGGCCGATAGCGATTAAGAAGGCTTGTTCTTTTGACCGCTTATCTTAAGAATCGCAAGGACGTACTTCAAGGACTTCCGATCCTGCGAGCAAGGGCAAAGATTGTCATTCGGTGATTAAGAGGGTCTATCGGAGCTTCGTGCGATCGGTAGAAGAATCGCCACTATAGGAATCATGCATGCCGTATGCAATCGCATCAATCAATATCAAGGTAGTTTATAAGTCGACCTGCTGCGCCACCATGTCAGTGTCCGTATAACTTGCAAGTTGCACATACATATGCGCTTTAATTGAGGTCGCCGAAGAACTTGGAAGCTCTTGGATACATAAATTTTTGTTGCAAGACCGTCACTGGAGTGCGCATTTAAGAATTTTATGTAGCGCCATCATTGCCTAGCATGCGGGCTGCCGCTGCGGCAACTGCAATGTTAGTAAGACCGTCATGCGTTGATTCAGCATACGAGTTGATCCATGATTTGCAGAGGAGCTTACGGTGCATAAGTTTAGCAGATCTTTCAACTGCCAACTTGGTACGGTAAAATTTGCCACTGAGCTTTAATCATGCCGGCATGTGAATTTGTATACGTCTAGCCTAGATCCTGCAAGCGATTCATATGTCACTCGGTGTGCATTAGAATTTGCAAGTCGTAGCTTGTCACCTACCTGAAAATGAGCAATCAAGCGACAAACCTATACATACGTGCGAATTCAACTTGCAGCACTTTTGAAGACCATGTCTCATGATTGCGCGCCATCTTGTCCGCCTAGCTTGTCAACCGGCTAGAATACTTTCGCTAATTTCCACTTCGATCAACAAAACTTAGTCAAATTTGGGGGGGGGGACTATCTTATCTCTCCGCTTCATTTCATCTATTTTCATTCCAGACTCTGCTAAGATCACAATAATGGTCAAGAGCACAACGAGCTTGCCGTTTACCAGGCCGTATCAAATGCTTGAGCATCAACGAGGTTGAGCCCGAAGGCAGCAAAGGTAAGGCTCTGAAGGATCAAGAAGACCGAGTACTGCCAGCGGCTCTCCACAAAGATGCCGTAGATCGCGGATCCGAAGATGAAGATGGCAATGCAGATTTCGCGCTTGTACACCCTGCATAGCAAGAGAGAAAACACTTTGGTCTTCCTTGAATGTGAGACTTCACAGGGCTGACGGAAGAAGTTGATTCGGCGTGATGCTTCAGACAGGTTGTAGTCCAGCTTTGGGCTGCAAAGCTTTGCATCAACCATGGTCGCTCGACCGTATATCCGTCAAAAATCTGAGGTTTTAGTCGAAACGTTGAAAGACTCACTTGCGACGTGGTTTCTTGACGGGTGCCTTCGGGAGCGGCTGGATCTTGTTGCCGGTGTGGCTAATTGCAACAGGGTGAACCAGGGGCAAAGTAGTGGTGACGGTGCCGTTGTGCTGGATCCACAAGGGGTCGCCGGGCTTCGTCTTCTTGATCAACGGCTTGTCAGCAACCCACTTGCCAAGCTTCGTTGTGACGACCCAACTATGAGAAGATCGAAGGTCCAGAAGGCCGGAGATCATCGCAGACAGCTTGACGATGGACATGGCGTTCTCGAAGAGGACGAATGGAATTACGTAGTGCCAGGACCTGCCACAGAGATTAGGCGCGAGGGATCTTCGGATTGCTTCGGTGTTTGCGCAAAGTCATACCCTTTTCTCACCCTCTATCTCTTGACCAGGGCGGATCAAAGCTTAAGCTGCTTGATTACAAGCACACGTTATTCCGCAAGGAGACAGCAGGGTGTAATGGTCAAAAGCTCTGAGGCTACGTTGAGCGCTTGCACCTTATGCTGCAAGAGCCTGACCACATACCATGGAGTGAAGATCACCGTCGAGATCGTCACAAGAACGGGAACGTAAACCAGTGCCCAGAAAGGAATCGATACCTCCGGAGCAAGAATGCAGATGGGAACCTGCAAGCGAATAAGATGCATAAGAAGCATTCTTGTGTAGGATGCTCTGTCACCTTCGTGGGACTGTGAGGAGTGTTTCTCAATACACGAGGAAGTGGGCTTTGCTTCGACTTCTCTCGACATATCAGACCTTTGAACTTTAACAGTACAACAAGTACATTCAATTCTGGTCCACGTGTCTGTCCTGTACATCCGGCCAGAGCTCGAAAGCCAAAGAAAGGCTCACCAGTGTGCAGTAGAAGACGAATGAAACAATGTGCGTTGCAAATAGGCGCGTGCCGAAGAAGAAGAAGTTCAGGTAGATCTTTTGTAGGAGCGGAATCTGCAAAGCAAAGGCCGCTTTGAGGGGTTTGTAAAGCAATTAATGAGACGAACGCAGTAATCCCGAAAAGATTCCGACAAGGCAATGATTTGGACCCCGTTCCTGTGATCATTCGAAGGAAACCTGACTTACGTTCGAGGCCCAGACTGCCGCCATCGCTTTTCTCCATAGTTGCATAGGACCACAGCTCCAACGATGCTGTTGGGAGCGGAACGCAGCGTACGAGGATGGAATCTCGTTCAGGCACTGCAGTGACAAAGGACGATCAGATTGGATAAAATTCAAGCCTTGCATGAAAATATCTGTATCATACAAGCCTTGTTGCAGCATTAAAAATCGGATTTCCAAATGCTCAGGTAGGTCGAGGAAAGAAAATTCCGAAAAGTTGTCCCCCTACTTCAGAAGTATTCGTGGATTGACCTAGTAAAATAGAGATGCTCACCACGACATCGTTCAGAAAGATAAATCTCCACCCCCTCAAGTATGCACGTAACGATAGGTCCATGTCCTCCACGGTTGTTCTGTTGTTCCAGCCTCCTGCGTCTTCCATGGCTTCGCGGCGCCAAACGCCAGCAGTGCCTTCAGGAAGCGACATAACAAAACGGGGCCTCAGGTCCAAATATCTAGATGGCTCGAATTATCTATCTTTTCTCATGTTCCACCGATGCAGTATATGCACCAGAGTGTAATTCATGGCCAGAATGTCTCAATCAATTCTCGACAATCAATTCTCGACAAACTCACCGTTGAAGTTGAAAAAATTGCCTGTGGAGAACCTTGCAAATTGCTCGCACTTGATGTGATAGTTCAGGGAGATTTCTTGGATCCTGGTGAGAACGGTCTCAGTTGCATTTGCGAATGTCCAGCGGGCTTGGACGAATGCCACTCTTGGATTATCCTGTAAAGGAGATGGAAGCTTGAAGGTTTGTGTAAGAAAATTCCAGACGAAGAAAAGTTACATGCTGAAGCGGAGATGAGAAGAATCGTCTTTTGCCAATCAGCAAGCATCAGCACACACTTGTCGGCTACAAGTAACTCGATGAATTCTCTTGAGCAAGCCTTCAGACTGGTTGCATGAAGCAGCACTCAGATAGCCAAAAAGTTCTCCCGCCTGATCCATGCTGCAAAATCTTCAAGCAAATAAATGAACTTACCACCAGATACGGGACAGTCTTCCTAAGAAAGTTCGACTCGGGCTTGAAGTCGGCATCAAAGATAGCGATGAAATCGTGATCCTTGACGGAATCTTCAGCCTGCAGGAAAATTGGCGCGTCATTCTTCGATGAAAAACCGACCTGATGTGCCCTGCTTCATTTTTCACATCGATCCTGTAAGGATAATCGCATGTGCATTGCTGCTTTGTCCCCAGGTACAAAATAGGTAAGCTGAATGGGCAAGATTCTAATTCTGCTTTGGACAGTTGAACTTACCTCCATCATAGCCCCTGCTTTGAACCCCTTCCTGTTGGATCTCCATCGGTTCTCGATGTTGATACCGTTGGCCTTCCATTCATTTACCTTGTTACACACGCGTTGACGTGTGATAGGGCATGTTGAATCATCAAGGATTTGAATCTTGAGCCGGTCGCGAGGCCAGTCTAAGTCACAACACGCGTCGATGACTTGCTCACAAACCTCCTTCTCGTTGAACATGGGTATCTGCACAACGACCTTCGGAAAACACTTGCTGTTCTTCTCGAGATCAGGTAGAGGCGTAGCACTGAATTCATCTTCAGGTTTGGTCCTCAGGATCTTCCAGTACAGAGTGACATAGAAGTGGAAAAGTCGATCAGCTGCCACCAAGGACGAAAGGAAGGCGCTCACTCCCACCATGATCTGAAGTACTGGAGATATGAAACTGATTCGGACATCCCTCAGCAACTTTGCCAGGAATGACAACTCGGATCGAAGGCGTTCCTCCTGTTCGCTTAAAAGAACCTCGTTTCTTGGCCAAAAGGCCAGCATATGCTGCAAAGACGGCTGGAGCTGGACGCACAAGATCGCGAGACAAACGAACACTATAACAAAGACAGGAGTGGAGAAGCAGCCCCGAAAAGCCATCCTGCTCAGTGCCTGGAAGTTGGAATTTCAGCAATCGCAAAGTTGGGAGCAGACTGCTTCGATGTCTTCAGGATTGTCCTCAAGCTGGCACACCTTCCGATATGGCAGCATCTCGGAGCTTCTATTTGAGAGGATGATCCTAATTGAGGTACGAAAGCAGGATTTTCGAAAAAGCGCTTTGCTGCTAAAGTTGCGCAACAAGACCCGTCGAGGGAGACATTATGAACGGGAAAAGCTATACGGCATGAGCCAAAGGTGAAGGCCGGCCTGCGGCTCAAGTCTTGCCTTCAGATCTGAGCTTCGAAGATTGGAGCGCAGTACTTCACCTCTTATCTGTTGCTGTTCACAAGCTGTTGTGAGATTTGAAGCGACAAGTCTTGGAAGGTGAGATTCTAAGATTAAGGTCTCGGCAGGCAGACCCATAGGGAAATGCATAGTTCGAGCCAAGTTGAAGTGGGGGCTGCACTAATTCTCAGAGGCTTGCAGGTCAAGGCGGCTGGCAAAACTTTGACGACCCGCCGAAAGTTAGGATCTTAGCTGAACTTAGCTGGACCGTCCGATTCAGAAGTGGATAGGCTGCCTGCCACTTGGACGCATCTAAACCGTTGATTGTGAAGCTGGGGGATCTACTGGGATTGAACCGAGGACTTGCACTTTGGATCCAACACGAAAAGGTCAAGAAGCATATCATCATCGAGGTGCATGCGACTGCGCGCGCAGAGTGGAACCCGTCTAGGGTCAGAAACTTCAAACATTGTCCAAAAAGGAGAAGCCTGAGCATGCATCCGTACCTGCATACGGTAGATCAGCTGCTAGGCTTCTCAGTGCTATGCCCGTTGACTTGTCATGATGGAAGACTCGAATTGGCCGTCATCGTTCAGTATATTAAGCTCGAACGACTCCAGAATCTGTACATTACTTCATATCAACCTCGCGCAACTGCGCAGCGCGTATCGTTGGAGCACTCATCAGGGGTTGTAGGCGAATGTCCTCCAGTAGAGATCCTACAATCAGATGACATTCCCCATGATCGGCTCCTGAGGTCAGTACGCTGGCAGTCTTATATCAATTGTGTATAGACCAATGGGAGCTGGCGTAGGCTCTTTTAGCACTATTTGCAGATTGCATCAATCTGGTTTTTGAACCTGCACGTGTCACGGTTTTGTCACGCATATGATGATATGCTGCCAACGTTTACGCATGAGGCCGCATCATCCGTGTAGCAAAGATACTCGACACTAATTGTTAAGATAGTTAAGCATGCTTCGATCACTGCACTACGCCCGCCCATGAGTTGTATTCACTCCTGAGCCCTACACGGCCAGCATCTGTATAGTTGCATGCTCCGATTCGCGATGACCGTCTCTGACAGAGTGGCAAACCGTCCTGGTTCGCAAGCCCATGAGAGCTCCTGCAGTATATGTTTGTCGAGATACATCCGATTGAACCGCGATATGAACCGTCTTGACTTCATCTAGAAGTCAGTTTATCTGGCATTGATGCTTATCAGATGCCACATACGCAGCCTTTCAACGAATCACCCTGCAGATCTGAATGCAGCTAGCCTCAACCACGACGGTGTTCCTGTTGACGTACGCCGTGGATTGTTCTTAGGCCCAATTCATAGCATGGGCCGGCCAAGCTGATAGTCAACAGTTGTCCAGAGCTATAGCTAAGGAGGACACCGCCAGTTCGATACTTCCTCTCTACAATGTGTTCCTCTCGATTACACTCGTCGACAGGCATCGACCTAGAGTTCTTTGAGGATAAATTAGCAATGTCAAGCAGCGCGCGGGCAATCAGCTATGTGTCCTCGTTTCTATGATACGGGTAAGCTACCTTCTCAACACCAGATTGTGCCGTGTCAATCAATGAGCCTAGACTTTCCTAGAGTGTGCAAAACTGTACAGCAGTAACACCTTTTACGACCATAGACAATAATAGCGTAATGCTACGATGCTTAAGGCGGATTTTCGCAGTGAGACTGATCGAAGACGTATGCATGCTCATCAAACGTCAAGAAGCTTCAAGGACGTTCGACTCTATGCATTGCCGCTCAAGCTCTTTCAACCTCCGTTGAACTTTCTTTACAAGACTCGAATCCATGGTAGCTGCCTTCCTATACGTGGCGGCCGCACCCTGGATGTCCCCCAACTTGGTGAGAGCTTCTGCCTGCACAATATGAGACGGCAGTAGATGGTCGAAAACTAACTCTTAGTCTTGGTTAGACATGGACTAGGTGCTTCAACCAGCAGCAGCAAACTCCATTGCAAATATCACTTCACGAATCTGTAAGTCAGAACCTAGCACAACAGGTGCGAGCAAGTACAGAGCGGTTGCCTCAATCATGCTGAAGACGAGAAGACAGGCAACAAGCAACAAGTCAAGCTACAGCTATTGCTTACCTGTCGCATGACTGCCCCTGCCCAATCTGGTGCCTCTTTTGCGGCGCTCTGGGCATCTTCTAGCGACCCTTGGAAATTACCAAGGGCGACCCTTGCTGCTGATCTATTAGCGTAGAGGAGGTGCAAACCTCCAGAAGGTCGCAAACCGATAGCTTCGGTGTATAGCTCCTCCGCTCGCTGTGGATTGCCTCCCTCAAACGCAGAGTTGCCCTGGTATTTGAGCTGCTCGGCAGAGAAAATAAAGCGTTTGGAAATGATTGAAGGCCAGACGTCGTTCCAATATACTAGTAAAAAAAGATCAGCCGTTCTTGGTAGCCACGACGAACAATAGCTACTGTTCGATCGTAACGACCCACATGATGTCGCTGGTTGCGGTCACCAACTCAAATACAAAAGAAATGAGAGTCTTCCAGCTTAAGTGCAGGTTGAGGAGCCTGAGTCAAAGCTTACGTTGAGTGCTTTGAGATTGGTTTCTGGATCAGGGGCACCACACTGCAATGCTAAAAGCCGTGCAACCTGCAAAAGGGGACAAACGTCAGCTCGTCAAAGATGGTTTTGGGGCTCCATGCACCAAAGAAAGGAAGAGCATCAAAGGAACACGATCTGGACCGTCGCAGGAAAGTAGGCAGACTAAAAGATGGGGAGAAGATTCTTCTATCGGAGGGGGAACTCACATGACTAGCAGTGTTGCAGTGACTGATGATGAGCTCGCTTGGAAGCATAACCAGATTTGGTCCATTTCCACACTTTCCTGCAACCACAGCGACGATGTCAGCCCCTGGACAAGGAAAATCCTAAGCTGTCACGCCCAGTAAGGAGAATACTGCACAAACAAGAACTTTGAAGAAGCATGGCAAATATGCCTGAAAACTTTGTTCCACTCACCTATGCATCCTGTGGTGTCGATTTTGACCCCCGGCGGAGCCAAGTCCCGAAAATATTGAACAGTCTGCACGGGAGCAGAAAACGAGTTGATTTGACATAATGTTCTGTCAGCAACACAGCCAAAACGTCTCCCAAAGCCCAATCCTTTGACCAGCTTGAGCAATGAATTTGACTGATAAACTCCAACTCAAGAGGAGAATCCAAGCATCTCAATCAGACATCTGATACAAAGTAATCAACGCACCTGCCAACAAGATCATCATAGCCCCCCTTCTCTAAAATTGAGGTATCCAAGCAGAGCAGGGAGAACTTTTTCTGACAGGCTTGTCATACTCTGACAGGAACTCGGATCACCGCAAGGATGAATTTAAGTACGGTAAGATGATGCCGTTAAGTTTGCAACACAAAGCACCACCTTAGTAAGGCAAACAGATACTTTCAGAATAATCAGCAAGGGGTGAAGGGGGCTTACCTGCAGGGACCCATCTTTTCTGCAGGTCCTGTTTGTACAGATCAGAATCTCTGTGTTGTTGACCTGCACACCACCCCCAATCAGACCCAAAGTTATCAGGTGGGCATCAACAGAGAATCCCAGTTCAGCTCTGCTCAATACATATGTTATCATGCTAGGCAGAAGTTGCGCAACATAGAGAACCGGAGCTGCCATATGTTGCACAACCTTATCCATCATCAGCACCCAGAGTTTGAGGAAGAAGCACACCTCGTCGACTCCATGACATCGGATGCCCGCCCACCCTCTACCTTGGGAACGCCTCAGACCTGAAATCGAGACCCCAGGAAGTCTTCTATAAACGTAGTGATTCTCATGACACCGACGGTACGAGCCAGCATTGATCCAGCTCTGCGAGAAGCGGGCATTTAAACGCACTGAAGATTTGACCACCTCCATGCCTATGCCCTGGCCAATCAGTTTCTAAAGGCGCCTTTCAAGTACTATGTTGTGTTGTCTCTTTTTCTGAGTTCGCCAAGCAGGCAACGCAACGGCTTCTCTTCACAGAAGCTGCTCTTGGCGATCTTGTTCCTTGTCCCAGCAAGTTTATGCATGCAGCAGCGCTAGCATTCGCCACCATGGCTGGCATGCAGAACCACCAAAGAGTGCGCGCCTGAGTCCTGTGTTTTAGGGTTTCACTTTTAGGGTTTATCCTGACCTGAGTAGCAGTCCGGCTGAGGCTTTTCTGGTGTCTAACTTCCTCTCGCTCCGAGGCAAGAAAAGGTGCCAACTCCTACACTGCCATGGTAGACTGCAACTCCAACCGGTGCGAGGTCCTGGATTTGCACCGAAGCAGATTAGACTTTCAGAGACGAGAATCAGCTGAGTACCTAGCTAGGGCTTTCAAGTTAACTTTCAAGTTATGTACATACCTTTCAGGTACAGCGCTAACTTAAATCGAAAAGGAGGAAAGCTTCAAAATTTTCAAGTCAGGAACGGGGGGAAGAGGAGGGCCACTACGGTATTTTGCAGCTTAGCGCCCAGTCAAAGACTTTAGACAGTCCAAGGGGCCAGCGCCACATTGCATTGAAGTCATCGGTTCTGACCATGGCGTCCCATGCCCTCCGGGCACCGACTTTGCCACGTTGCCATTATGGTGGCACAATGCAGAGAAGTGCGCTTTCCAAAAGCAAGGTGCCGTCGCACACATACGGTGGCTCACAGCATTTGCGACATGAGTCAAGCTTTCTGGGAGGTCCCCTGTTCGCCGCACAGAGTAAGACCGTGAGAGGTCCCAAACGGAGTGGCGGGAAATGCAGGGCGGTTGCAGAGAACGGTGTCACCGACCCAATTCTGCTGAGAGTTGCAAGGGGAGAAGGTAAGCAGATAAGGGCACACTGCATTGACTTGCGCTTTCCAAATGCAGGGCTTGGGGCAGTGACGTAGATGGGGACTGCAGCCGCGCAAGAGTGCACACGAGTATGGTCGACCAGTGCAGTCAAGAATCTCATGGACTTTGCCAATGTCCCGCATCAGCACCTTGGTCACATCCCACAAGAAGCTTCCTGCCCTCTTTTTGTTTGTCCCCCAGTTTTGCGCTCACACCTCAGACCCCAGTAGTATCGTTGGTTTGTTGAAAGGTTTTCTTACTCCAAAAGATCAACGAGTGGCCATAATTTATTGCAGAAGCCGAAAGGACACCGGTGTGGTTGATGCGGCAGGCGGGCCGCTTTATGGCGGACTTCCGAAAGTGAGTGCTAGATTGATGCTGCATTCAAAGTTGGGTGCACTGCTATACTTGTCCGAATCTGCCGCTACATCGGCAACCAAAAGCTGTGAAGTTCCACTGATCCTAAGTCTCATCCTTGGCCCACCTGAGCTGGCTGCCCTGAGCGCTTCACCCTCTGTTCGAGTCTCTTCATGACAACACATTGGCATTGTCTGGTTGCAGATACTCCGATAGGATTGGCTTCAGGGAGCGTTCAGAAACATCGGAGATTGCTATCGAGCTGTCTCTACAGCCGTGGAGGGCATTCAAGCCGGACGGGGTCATCATGTTCTCTGACATTCTTACCCCCCTGCCCGCATTGGGCATTGAATTCGATGTCATCAAGGGGAAAGGCCCCATCATTCCGGTGCCAGTAAGGTCGCTCGACCAAGTAAAAGCATTGCGGTGAGGTTACTTTCTGTACGACTTCTCGTTATTTCAGATCCAAGTTTTGTAAGCAGACCAGGCTGTTATCTCCAAGTTTGTCTGCACGATCTCATCAGCACAGCTTGATACTAGCGGTTTTAGTCAACACTTATCATGACTCGTGCTTCATTGAGAGGGATAAACACCAACTACAATCGGTCAGTCAGCGCACAACCTGAACGTGCGGCACGTAGTGTCTCTAATCCCGGTATTCTTTTATCTGTTTTGCAGGACAATGGACGACCCAGCCAGCACCCTTCCGTTCGTGGCCGAGACCCTCTCTGCCCTCCGGAAAGAGATCGACGAGCAGGCAACGCTACTGGGTTTTGTAGGCACACCTTGGACACTGGCAGCATATGCGATGGAGGGAAAGGCGGACAAGCACCTATTGAAGACCAAGACCATCATGTATCATGGTGAGAAACATTCTAGATTCAGGAAAGGCAGCTCCTTTGTTCCTGTTAAGAGTTGAAGATCGTGAATGCTCTCTTGTCTTTGCAGCATTCGACCTCTGCGGGATTGATCGCTGCTGCTATTGTCATGACCAGTTACTTTTTAGTCCTTATCGTTCGCCACATTCTAGCAAAAGTCAATCCTGTTGCCGTTTGTTGCGGGGCAATGTGTGTGCTCCTTCGTTTCTTGTGTTTGAAAGCACGAGTGTTTACCAGATTGGCCTGGAGATCCTGCATGGGTCACTTCAGACACCTCTAGCTTATCGCTTGTGTTCTTGCAGATCCCGCCACCCTTCACGCATTCCTGGACCACCTCACTGAAGCGTTGATCGCCTACGTCTGCTTTCAGATTGAGAGCGGGGCTCAGGTAGGTAGAAAAGCTACATTTGTGAGCCTGACGAGTTTTGAGCTACAATTGTGAGCCCGACAGGTCTGGGGCAACTTCTCAGTTCCTCATCGATGGTCCTCGTCTTCAGGTTTGTCAAGTTTCGAAGCTCAGACTCATGCTGCCCTGATCCTCTGCTTTTCTTTTGACCTGTGCCGAGCTTTTTGCTCCTGAGGGCATTGGGAGTCGAAACTGTCTTACGGCTCTTGCCTCGCTCTTCTCCTTCATCGTCAGCAGCAGTTGCTACATCCTGATCCCATGCCGCACAGGTCGTCCAACTCTTCGATTCCTGGGCGCACCACCTGTCGCCGACCCAGTTTGAGGAGTTCAGCCGGCCGTATGCGGAGCGCGTTCTCCAGGCAGTGAAGGCGAAGCATCCCAGCGTGCCCCTGATTTTCCACGCGAACGGGGGGACCGGGAAGCTGCTCCAGATGACCCCCCTGAGCAGCGACGTGTTGGGTCTCGACTGGAACACGGAGATGCGGGAAGCGAGGGCGCTGTACGGGCCGAAACGAGTGTTGCAGGTAAGACCGCAGTTGTAACACTTTGGTAACACTTCGTAACACTAACCACTATACCAAAAGGTGTCCGCAGGCCGTTGGACAACCGAATGGTTGTCGTGATGCACCTTATTTGAACTTGTCGATTACAACAGCGACGAGGATTGCCGTTCTGATGACCTTGCTTGACCTGCCCACTCGAGTGAACTTCGAAATCTGCTGCTTATGAGGGCAGAGGGGTTCACTTACCTTTCTGAATAACGGGCGGGCATTCGTTGGCCGGCTCGCGTTTCGCAACTTTGGAAGTTGATCGCTGGGGGCCAGGTCTGGTTGATAATGCATTCCTTTTGCCTACAAGAGCTGGGATCTGCTTGGGCTACTATAATGCGTCCTGCTACTCATGGTGTTGACTTTTTGGTACCAGCTCAGAGTGCGATGATTCATACTCAGCGGAGAAAAATCGTCGCTCAAGATTGTCCCTTGTTCTTTTCAGGGGAATGTCGATCCGATGATCCTTCTTGCACCCGAGGAGGTAATTCGAGAAGAGGTCAGCCGAACATTGGCCGATGGAGGCGACCAGCACTTGATTCTAAATGTTGGTCACGGGGTTATCCAACAAACACCGGAGGAAGCCGTGGGCCTCTTCTGCCAGCTGGCACGAGAAAGCCACCGGGCCCGCACGCCTGTGTCCAGCTTAGGATAGGCTATATATCTGCCTGCCTGCTCAATTGTTGCTGCTATATCCGTGCTCAAAGCTGGCTAGTCGTGCGAAATTCGTCCCAAACAAGAATACAGATCCGTTGTGTTTGAGCGGCCCATATAGGCTGGTGTGTGTGGAACCCTGGTCAATGCAATCCAAAAGTAAACAGACCCGTTGTCGTTGGTTTTCTGCACTCGTCCTTCTCGATTCCTTCCATTATCTGGTCGATGAGATCACGACGTGCATGTATATGGGCCCCTTTTCGGATGGCGACATGCAATCTGTATTTGTAAAAGCTCAAATTAATGCTTGACTCACGTTTTTTAGTAAGTGCCTGTGACCACACCAGCTAGTACCGTTCTACTCTCTGTACGGTAGAGGATAAAGTATACATGCTTGCAACTTTGAAGCTTGGATATGGCGGCCATGCAAGTCCAGTGACTGGCCCATTCATCAAAGACGCATACAGTTGTTCGACTGCTGACCGTCAATCGTGTTGATATTTCGATCAAGTGCCGACTGGACATATACGACCGTTCTGCAATTTATACAATACTATATAGGTGTACCGTTATTTAACACATGGACTCCTTTTGAGTAGGTTGTCGAATTGAGTCTGCAAACTTAGACGCGCGGAGATCCGACAAATGTTGTTCAGCAGGGGGGCTGCATGAAAACACAGTATAGGAGTTGAGCAGGCTGAGACCAACCTTGGCCTGCATGTGAGGGACCAAGCCATATATGCAGCCGGCGGCCGCACGCCGCGGAATCATGATCCCAATTTTGAAATGCACTCAATCCTCACGCGACCGGACCTAGCCATGGTGACACGCGATAGATTGGAAGTAGCACGAGGGAATGATGACTAATGAGTGCAGGCCGACTCTGAGCTAGCTCTGCACGCCATTTTTGTAGCACGTGCAGCTTCCATGAATCGTTGCCGATACACTGGATATAAACTCTGAACGCATTCAGAACGTATGATAAGCGGCTGTCATGACGGAACTGCAACATTGAAGAGAGCATACACAGGCAATCTTTCCACCAAATGGGTTTTTGTATTTGTTAGAGATGTGCAATCGACATTAAGGCTCCCTTCTGGCCAGGATGAGACGTTATTGACCATTGAGCTTCGCGGCAAGGACCTTCTGCATCAATGCGGGGTTTACTCGGCCCCCTGATTTTTTCATCACCTGCACCGCCCGACCAGACGTGACGTCAGGACGGAAAACAGGGACACTCCTCAACATGACCAGGCCGGATAGCCAAAGAGTAATTTAGAACAGGCTCTGTATCGAATCGCTTCTTAGCCGTCACTCTATATAGCTTCTGGGCAAAAGAGCCGAAGAAGAACACGCATGCAAGGAAGCTATTGCTAAAATCCAACTGAGGGCCGAAAACAGATGAAAACTTTACGTCCAGATTATTCTACTCCAAGCTAAGACAAAAAGGGCGAAAACAGTAGAGACCCATGCAAGCAGCGGCCCTTACCTGACCGGTGAAGAAGCCCTGCAGCTTCTTCTTTCCCCCTCGGAACAACTCCAACTGCGTAAAGGAGCAGCATGCGTCAGACGACGTCAGCGGCGGATCTCAAAGCAGACGGAAGGCTGCGCCACAGCAGCGCCAACGAAGCCATAACTCCATATACAGGACTCATAACACTGAAGATTGCAATGCGAAGCGCATATGACGAAAAAGGTTAATCCAGGCGGCAGCCACTCCGCACTTCATCTCGCTTGTCAACGGTGGGCAACGGGGAGATGCCTCGGTGCAAGGGACAGGCAGACTTTCGACGATACCGGGCGGAGGACTTTTGGATCTACATGCCGAGGAGCTACGAGAACGTGACGGAAGTTGGACAAAGGACTATAACGGGGTGTGTACCAGAAGCTGCTACGGAAAGCGGGCGAAAGTCGGGGCCTCACCTCTTTCGGATGGGCCGCGAGCACTTCGTCGACCAGAGCCTCTACCGCGCTGTCATCGGAGATCTGCAAAAGAAGCAAACAATGAGAAGATTTCAGGACAGATACGGGGCGGAACCTGATTTCTCGGCGCTCGCACTTGCCCGTTCACACACGAATCACGACAGAACCAGAGCCTCTCCGGCATCGGGTTCTGTAAAAAGGACGAGCGACGAAATGGACATGGCCGGAACGGGGAGCGTACACGACACAGCACGCAAATCAGGCTTCCTTGGTAGGCCGGAACGCTCCATTATGGTCATTTATGGTGGCAAAAGTCGACTTGGATAGACAGGGTCAATACTGCAAGGACTAGCAAAGAGTCGATGACGAAACAAGATGAAGACAAAGCGGGAGAGGGTAACATTTGAAAGACAGACAGGTGCATACCTGTAGCAGCCCCTTCTTCTCGACCAGCTGTTTAATCCCGCCCCCTTCCTTCAGCAGCTCCAACATAAAAGCAGGTCAAAATAACGCAGGGAAGACATAGCAATTAGAAACAGACACAGAAGCACACCTGTAGCAGGCCCTTCTTCTCGACGAGCTGCTTGGCGCCCCCCCCTTCCTTGAGCAGGTCCGGCAGGATCTCCTTGCCGATCTTGCCGCTGATTGTGCCGTCCCCAATGAGCGCGATCAGCTCCGCCAGCGTCTCGGGCGCCATCGCTACGTCCGTAATCAGAATCTTCTCCGCCTGTTGAGACGGGGGAAAGGGGGTGGACGACGTCAGCGACGGGTCACTAGACGACAACGATGACGTCAGCCACTCCCAGGAAGGAAAGGTCCGCGAGCGGGACGGCGTCATGCAGTTTAGGAACGGCGCCGAAGGCGGAAGCGCTGGTCCCGGAGTTCGATTCCAAGAGTCCGACTCTCGACCGATACGAGATGCTTCCGTTCGCTCGGACTCGGCTCCTGCATTTGACACGGGCGGTGGCGACGCAGGGATGGCCAAGCGACGTCGCATCCTCAAGCAATCCACGAAGCTAGAAACGTCGAGTCTCCGCACCACTCTCGCCGCCCCACCTTGCCGCCCCACCTTGCTTACGTCCATCGTCCACTCCTATGAGTAAGATCTAATCGTCCAGTCCTGGTTCGTTAACAACCCAGGAAGCTTGAGACTGCCCCTACCGTATCGATCGCCAGTTTCAACAACCCTCGCCTTGCAGTACCTCACTCATTTGATCGCAAGAATCTCAAGTACTCAGGAAGCCCAATGGAGCAAGCCTCAACCATCGAAAACCCGCACCTTGCAGTATTTCGTGATGTCCCCCATCATCCAGTTGGCGGCCGCCTTGATGTCCGCGCCCGCGCCGAGCACGCGCTCGAAATATGCTGCCACGTCACTGTTGTTCGCCAGCACCAGCACATCCTGCATGCTCAGCCCCGCGGCCGCGTATCGCCGCCGCTTCTCGTCCGGCAGCTCGGGAAGGCTCGCGCGGACGTCCTCTAAGTAGTCCGCAGTCAACTGCACAGCAAATGTTCCTTCCTTTGCTTTTGAACGGATACTCTCCGAAAAGGCCAGAGTGCTGAGTAGAGGATAAGCTCCGGGAGGCTCGCGCTGACTTCCGCTAAGTAGTCTGCCGTCAACTGCACAAAAATATGTTCGACGGTGTTCTCTTTGCTGTCGAGGCGATAGTGTCAGAAAGTTTAAAGTCCTTTGGCACGTTAGTTGTAGCTCGGGACGGCTCGCCCGGACGTCCGCAAAGTACTCCGCAGTCAACTGTGCGCAGTGCAAATTAGGCGTCTTATCAAGAGAGTTAGTTCTTTAGAGGTTTAAGTCAAGTCCGACATTCCCGGTCCAGAGTCCAAGGTCCGTACGCGCAGCTAGTGTAGATCCGGGAGGCTCCCCCGGACGTCCGCTACGTACTCCGCCGTCAACCGGACAGGAAAATCTAGTCGCTTCAGTGCTTCTTTGCAGTAAAAGGTCCGTGGCATATTGAGTACCTTTTTAGCAGCGGGTTAGGCTAAGAGATGAAATTTCATGCCACCTTTTTCTTCGACTACGCAGTCTGTGCGGGGCAAGCAGTATTCCTGAATCGCCTGCTGCTGTGTTTTTAAAGTGTCAAGACCATCTTGGACAAACGCCATCGCGTCAGCTTTCAACATAAGAAGTGCATCCTAACCTACTTCGAAGAAGGAACCTCACCTCGATTTCTGGAAGATCTGGCTCCGGAAAGTACCGGTAGTCCGCCAGCCCTTCTTTCACTCTCATGCTGATCTGCAAACCGGAGAGGCGCCCGTCGGTAACGTCGCATTATGCTTGAAAAACCGGATCAAGAAGATATTTGACCAGCTAACAGCAGTCTTAGGAGCCGCTTCTAAGATCACAATGAACAGCGAAGCCGCTAGACACGCCCTTCGAGGGATGCGCGTGCGTTAACCCAGGGTTCTGTGCAACAGACCTTAATGTTACGCGCGCCCTGGGAGTAACCTACACACCGCCATTGCAGCAGCCGCAGTTGAGTCGCAAAGCTGCCGTGCACCTTTTCATATACGAACGTCTCCCCACCAGTGCGGTACCCACGAGCACACACAAACGATAGAAGCAAGCGCATCTCACCGTTCTCTGCGCGCCCTCCTCCCAGAGCCGCGTTTCCAGAACGATCTCGCCATCCTTTCCCGCTTCTAGCAGCGCGCTCTGGCGGGCAATCTCGAAGTCGATCGCGCGTTGCATCGCTGAAAACGAGTTCATATTTTTGATCTCCACCTGCGGATAAGCGTACCGCTTGAGCCGGCCCGTTACAAGGAGAGATGTAACAGAATGCAGAGGTGGGAAAAGATCCTCGCTTTCCTGTAAACGAGGGAACGCAACGGGGAAACGCGCAGCGTGCTTTTTGCAAAAATGGTCTCATCAGAGGTTCGGAACGGCGCCTTTTTAAAAGACAAAAAGGCTGCAGGATTCGTGACGGAATCGCCCATTTTTTCCACGAGATTTCCGAGAGCCAGCCACCAACGAGCTTATCATCCGCACTCGTGTCGAAAACCTCAAACAGATGATCGACGGGCTTTTTCCCGGTCTACTGACTGAGCTTTACGAAGTCTGAGCGTGTCTGAGGGGCTCGCGGAGCAATAGCACGAGCTTTGCAGAGCGACGAGCAGCCTACCTTGGTGCCAAACCTTTCCCTTCCTCTTGGCCGAACAGAGACGTTCACGTCGCAGCGCATCGACCCCTCCTGCAACGACATAGAAGCAGCGGTTCGCATAAGCTGACAAATTTAGTAGAGCCACGTCAGCGTACTGTACAGGGTGACGAAACCCCATAGCAATCAAGAAAAATAATCGTAAACTTATTTAATAGTAACTGGGACGGGAAGGGTTAGCTTGGGGGTAAGGATGGGTAGGGATGCGGAGCAGGTAAAATGTTGGCTTAGGGTTTTTAGTTTTAGTCGGCGCTTACTATTATCGAGGGCTTACTATTGTTTTGTTGAGAGTTATCGAAACCCCGCCGAGAGGCTCGTTGCCGGTTGGTCGCTCGGATACTCCAATATGTTGTCCCGTTGGCACACTACAAAGGAAATTTCAAAGGGCTGCAACACCAAGTCTCATGCAAAGAGAGCGTTCAAGGCTCGCAACGCCGACGCAAGGCTTCTCTGCAGACTGCGGACTGCGAGAAGTGATGGTCGAATAGTGTTTGGAGTGATCAAACCAACGTGACCAGAGCCAGTCTTTGTTGATTACATTGCCTGCCTTCTTTTACCTCTCAGCGAAACGTAGGAGAAATACATCTTTGATCATTCCTTTTCTCGAGAAGCCCGTGAGCACCACTCTCCATGCGAGAAGCCAGCGGCAAAGAATGAACGAGATCGTACTAGTAAACGATTCACTCACCGCCATGTTCCCGTTGCTGATGCCTAGGTACCTCACGATCCGCTGTATCTCGGCCCCGTACTCCGCAGCTTCCAGGCCCGTCCGCATGTCCGGGTCCGACACGATCTGAAGACAGGGAGATCGTCCGATGTCGACAGTAACGGAGCAAGCGCACAGGATACTTCGCATCGGATGAAATGTCGCTCAAGGGCGCACTTCGTTCTTTTGTAGAAGGACAAAAGTGGGACTCACAGAAACTTGGTGTCAGAAGAGACGAGGCCTGAAGGCTTGTCGATCAAACGGCGGAGATGTCTCAATAGGGCAGTGCCTGCCCCTGTTTATGGTTTCGAGGCACTTTGTACGTTTCTCCGGATCTGGCAATCTACCCGGAGAAGGCCGAAACACGCAGTGATCCGCTAAACACAAGCTATTAGCAGGGTGCTGGGTCTCGAAGCCGGAAGAGCGACGGTCATAAGAGGTAGTCTGAGGCTGGTTCAAGAGTACTGCCTGGTGAACGCAAATGTCCTTTGGATGGAGCCTCCAAGCCATGTGCGCACGAAGCCCAGTGGAAAGAAACAATGTATAAAACTGCTCCGAATATCGAACTCAAATCAGAAACCTCAAATCAGAACGAGCTCGGAGAGCAGACTGAGGTCCTTTTCTCTCCTGGGAAGCATAGAACCTTCAAGGGAAGAGAGCCAGTTCGTGTCTGAATAGCGAGGCACCCCCTATGTACCTTCGAAAACGTCGGCTGACAAGGGGCATTAGACAATGCGACACTCATCGAGCCCAAAGGATTGAGCCCCACCTCAATCAACGGTACTCCGGCCCGATTAAGGTCCACCTGAGAGAAGCCCGAGCCGGAAAGCCGCCCTCCGCCCCCATGCACCGACTTTCCTGCGTCCTCTTCCAAGTGCGCTCGTGTGACTCCAAATCGTCGGCGGCCACCACCAAACTCAACGGGTAAGTCCACCTCGACCCAACCAGACTGGGCAACAGGAATGTCGAACTGGGAGATCTGATAGCCTGCGACGGAGGAAAAGGTCATCAGGCTAGTAAGTACTGGAAGCAGCATACGGGAAGGCAGCGGAAGTTGTTTTTGAGGCTAAAGAGCTGACAGGTTCATAAAAGCGAGATGAGCACGGTTCGATGGGTTCGCTTGAGAGAAACTCAAATGCGATAAAAGCAGTCTTCTTGAAAGTCTACAGCCAAGAAGACAAAGGTAGGGATCGGAACTACAAGCTCACCTTTTGGAAGGTCTGGGTAGAAGTACTGCTTCCGATCAAACTTGGAGCGAGGGGCGATGGTGCAGTGCAGGGCGAGGCCCAGCTTGACCGCAGACTCTAGAACGCGGGCGTTGAGTACAGGAAGCGCCCCCTGAACAAGAAAGCCACTCTTTGATTCTTTAGTTGTCATCTTCTCTACTCCAATGCAACTTGCATACCCGCACCAGGGGGGATTCTCTAAGAAGTGGGCGTGGAAACTTTCAGATCGGACATCAGGCCAAGCATTGGACAGAATGCGACTCTCTCATATAGAATTACGGTATATGGAGTGTCCAATGAAAAGTGCGGCACCTCTGCCTGGATAGAAGGTTTGGATCGTTTTGGGGCTGAGTTCCTCACCGGAAGCCCCATACATACAGGACAAACATTGGTGTTTGGTTCTGCCCCGTACTGGCTGCGGCATCGGCAGAAGGCCTTAGTGGCGGTGTTCAGCTGGACGTGCGTTTCAATGCCTATCACAGCCTCATACTGCATAACAAGGAGGCCAACAGGGCAAATGTTTGGTACCCCATAATGACCAATCATGCCAGGAAGAAGCTCAAGCACAAACTTTTGAAAGCGGCGAGAGGTCGGGGCTGAGAATAACATCGTCAACATCTTCAGATACTACGTTCTTTCAGATGTTTTGATAACTCTTGAGGCCTTGGTAAACCAGCATGAACATGAATTGTCAGCCTGCGTAAGAGCGTCCGAGTGTAGCGCTGCACCGCGCATCTTCAAGATGACCGTCCTGTAGCGTGCAACCTGGTTTGCAAGGAATTGAAGGACACGGGGAGAAAAATAGACCATGTTGAAAAGTGCACACCCCAAAGCCTCACATGAGACCGAAAGGACTGCAATGCTTCAGCATTGGCCAACGGACTGCATTGCATTTGTCACAGGTATGGTACCTTTTCTTCAAGACCTGCACTTGCATCCTGTGCCGTGAGCCCTTCGGCAACAGCCTTGAGTGCCTGGCCTCGCCTCACCCCCTGCGCGTGCATTCCTGGCAGCTTCATGTTATTGGGGATGTCTGTCCGCGAGCATATTTCTGCAGCAGACAATTTCGCTGCTGTATGACTATATCGAAGTTCTTCATGTGATGGATGGTGGTGCGGAGCTGCGACGAAAGGTGCCCTGCTTAGGTTGACCGACAGCAACGAGAAGAGTCTGCTTCCGTCAAAGCTGCTCTTCTTAAGCGCATGTTGGGCTGGGAAGGCAAATAAACAGGGAGCCAAGCTGGATCCACATGGAGCTCCGAGTGTATTTGAAACCAATCGTGGTGCCATTCTGCCGCCTTGCTCAGCCAAGCCCATCACAGCCCTCGGCAGAAACGAACACATGCTTGCAGAGGCCAAGTCGCAGGCCATGAGTACGTGTGCTGCTATGGCCAGGAGTCTAGTGGGTCAGTTCTAAGCGGGTAGGGCAGCGGATACCACGCCACCATTTACTTCCATCTTCCCAGAGCAAACACACCCTTCTGATTTAGCATCACCGAGATGATGGGCCAAGCAATGCCACAAAGTGTGTTTGGTGCCCGTCTTTGACGCCACCACCACCAGCACTGTCAATGTCAGTTGTGTATTGAATTGTCTTGGAGTTGGACTTTCTGGCAAGGGCGAGCTGTGCACTAACGGTGAGCAAGTGGAACTCAGCTTTCGAACTTGAAGGTGAAGGCGAAGAGTCGGAAGGGCGTTCAAGCTGACTGCCGCTTCCTCAGTTCGCGAGTTCGCCTTTGAAAAGATTAAAGCTTGTGCCCTGACAAGCAACCCTGGCCCTGGGCATCCCAGCTCACTCCACATTCTCAGGCTGGACAAACATCTGATGCGCCTGGCGACTTTTTGAGCAGGCAGCCAGGGGGACGCTCCAGGAAAACTCAGAGTCAGAGATCACGGAAAATTGGGGCGGGGGAGTGGGCCTTGATCCAATGAAGCGGGGATTTTTGCTTGGGCAGAAGCAGGACCCACTAAAGCATGCCAGAACTGGCGATGTAGGGGGAGGAGAAGGAGTTGCGTCTGCCAGCGCTGTTCCTTCAGGCTATTCTCGGAATGCACCTGAAGAAGCATCCGGCACGGATGCTCAAGAAGCTCTTGCCTGCCTCGAGAACCTGTGTAAGAACCCCAGAGGACATGACAATCCACCCAACATGGACTATATCTGGGAGGACGACTATGAAGAGGAGCTTTTGCAGTGCACAGAAGCTGCTTTATCAGCAAGAGTAGCTCCGGCGAAGGTGCAGCAAATGATTGCAGAAGCTGCAGACAGGGACTTGCTCGGATATGTGCCTTCAAAGCTGCAGCGAGCCATCAGTGAGAGGCTGAGCCCGGATGCAATGGTGGGGGGCCAGAGCTTTCTGCACCAGCTTTTCAATCAGGTTCGGTGATCTTCCCTTTCATATTACTCCTGAACAATGACTTGGCTGTTGAAAGTATCGATATGCTCTGGACGAATGGCCTTTCAGACGCCACATGTTCAGCTCACATTTTGTTGAGTAGAGCAGTATGTTGACAGCACAGGAAGTCACTTACAAAGGCTGGCTGTTATATTGGGCTCCCCTAGGTGCTCAGAGTCGTTGGTCAAAATGGTTGCCATGATTGTATACACTGTCAAGAGTCGTTGGAAGTGAGTCCATGAAAAGCTTTTCTCAGATTGGGCCGAAAACATGGGTATACAGAAGATGACTGCCGCTAGTTTGGCCATGACCTGCGCCCACCTTATTTCCGGTTGCAGGATTATCCACCACAACCTGAGGCCTGGGGGCAGGAGGGAGAGGACCTGACTCTACCACAGCTATTGAAGAAGGGCCCCACACCCGATAAGCGGGATTCAAGGGGAGAAACCATTCTGCATGTTCTGATAAGGTGAGCACCCAAAGAATCTCTTCACGTACTCCATAATATAGATTGTTTGCATTAGGTTGTTGGCGTTCTCGAAAGTGCAATGGCGGCGCGACTCAAGCATGTACTTCATGGATCTTGACGAGATCAGTGGCCAGAGGTTCTCAATGAAGACCTTCGGTGTGGAGTTGCATATCCAAATGGATGTACACACTCATTGTGGTGACTTTGTATGCTATAAAATGTCTAGCAAACCGAATCTATGGAGACCTTGCTTCCACGCAGGCGGACTATCAACGGGAACTATTTCCCCGATGACTCGACCTCAGGGATGATGTACTCCGGCGATATTGAGAGATGGGCAGATCGAGCGAAACACTTTGAGCCCACTTTCAAGATGTTGGTGGATGCCGGTTGGACAATGCATGTTTGCGATGCAAAGGGCGTTTCAGTCTTGAAGAGATTGAGAGCTGCAAAAGCTCAAGCCCAGAGATTAGTAGGTGACTCTAAGGTTAAGGGTATGTCCGCCACGTTTGCAACCATCCCTTCCTTGCGAGCTGGTGGAGGAAAGGTGGTAGAAAAGCTGCTCAAGGATAGAAATAGCATGTTACAAGCATTTGCGAATGCACCGGTCTATGTGGAAGAGCGGGGACTTGCTTGAGGAACAACGATGTTTGGTTGGATAAGCGCAAGGGAGGGCCAATAAGCGGCCCCAAGTGGAAAGATTTATGATGTTGTGTAGTAGATAATGCGCATCAAATGTGTGTGCCACATAGAATTGTGGGCTCTTGAAGCTAGTTTTAAAAGACGATAGTATACTGTAGAGTCGCGCAGGCCATCTGATTGTAACATCCTGTAAATAAGGAATCTTCTCAGCAATGGCTGGTAGGTGCATTCAATCAGCAATAGAGTCAAGGTATCATAGCTGTGTTGCGAAATCTTTGTGTGTGAATACAAAGCTCTATCTCTACTATATGCAATCACCCACTGAAAATCGTCGAACGGGCGGCCATCTGGTAGAAAATCCTCGGTGTCCACTTCCGCAGCAGATCTAATGCATCGAGTCAACTCATTGTATCCTGGTCTCACTGGAGTGTTGCCCAATTTGGCTCAGCGTGGCTCATGCAGGGTATCTAACATGGCAAGTGACCATCGAGCTTTGTCATGGCATAGAACATCGTT